TCATGAAATGTTATAGTTTAGTAAAATTACAATCAACAGCATGAAACAAAACGTAAAAGTATTATTAAAGGAAAGTTTGCAAATATAAACAGCACTTTGATGTAAAGCAACAAATCCAAGCAGTCGTCCGTTCTGTCAGGGAGCTGCAGACCGGTGTTCACAAACATGTGCAAACACATGCACATAATAAAGGCAACAGTAAGCATTTTTAAGTGCTGATGTTGACGTTGTCATGATCACAACATGTAACATGCATATGTGGCGTGTGACTTGTATCCATCACATTGATAAACAGCAGCTCCCTGTGTCCCAGACTCGGTGGAGGAGAATCACTCAGTGTGGGACAGTCACTGATCACTTCTTAACTCGGGCGGAGTATCAAGGTGATTTATCTACCTTTGATGAAAATCTATTTTAATCTATTAAATGTAAACTATAAAAGTCAACAACATTTTTAACCAGCTCGTTGACTTAAGATTAACTTAAATAGCTAGCTATTTTGGGAGTTTAGCAATAATGGCTATCTCTTCCCACAACATGCAGCATTTTAACCTTTAGTTCCGCAACATATTTGACGTGAGGGTCCGAGATAGTCAGATTTACACGTCTGAGCCCGCCGGCCTGCCCTGGAACTTAACCCCTGTCAGTCAGCTGTCAATCTGAGCACTGTCAAGTCCTCGGAGACAAAGCTCATGTCTCATTTCACGCGTATCCATCTCAGGGTCATTGATTTTTCATTCGCCGAGAGAGAAATGGATTCTCTTTCCTTCATCACAGACGGGAGACAATCCCGGCAGACGGTCGCCACTAGCTTGATGAGGGCATCAGTTAAATGTAATCTGTTTCACGGGCCCTTCACTTATTTTGTTCCCCTTAGATCGAAACCGTTGCTTTTGCTCTGTGAGCTTTTCAAAGACTGTGAACGGCAGGAAGCTACAGATGCATTTAGCTTTGCATCAAAATGTAAATGAGCTCAATCTGTGCTCCAGTAACAATCGTGTTGTGCTGGCGAGCTCCTGTTGACAACTTCATTAGCTCTTCTCCCCTCCTCTTCCTCACACTTCACTGAGGTATGTTGGGGTGCAAATCAATGTCTCAGATAATTAGCTGGGAAGCCTCCGGTGAACACGCTGTTGAGATGTGTTGGCTGATTGTTGTGCGTTTGCTTCCAGAAAGAAACCATTGATCATGGAGAGAAGAGACTTGACTGTGCAATAATACTCGTGATAAGACAACGGTCTTACTACACAGAATCCTGCATAAGCAATGCAGACGTGCACACACCGTTTTCACTGTGGTGTCAGATCAACTTACTTGTTTTTGTGGAGAAGAGCCAGATTCCTCCAGTCAACCTCATTTCTTCATTAAAATTCAGCCGGTCACAACCCAACGATCAGACTCGTGATCTTACACAAGGTAACATTAGTGTCGGCTACAATAATCTGACAGAGATCAGAATAGATTATTAGAATATTAGAAAATCAAAATCAAACTGTTTAAAATTGTACAAACACTTTCTACAGTTGATTTCATGTTTTACTTTAACGTTCAATGTGTCATTTATAATCCTTCTACCCCTCCCTGGTACCTGGTAAAATGTCAAATAAAATATAAGTAATTGCCTAAAAGTCTTTGGCCCCAGACAAATGTCTTCACAGGGACAATAAAGTATATTTGATTTGATAGATTTTTATTTCTTAATGTCAGAACTGAATGTTTGTCTCCATCTTTATATTCACGAGCTGGTGAAATCACCGGGGACAATGATGGAAATACGTCCAGGACTTTAATGTTCTGTCCCTGACAGAGTCCAATATGTTTATAGATGTTAATAATTATATTAAAAGGCTGTTAAGTCAAAGAAAACTAAACTCTGGGAGCCCTTGAAAATGAGATGATACGTCTTGCCGATAAAATCTGTAAAATAGCCATCAGAGTCTCACTAGTACTTCTTGTATACAAATTTATATCTGCTTGACATCAGGATGTTTATGTTCAACACTGAAACTCTCAAGTTAATGCCAGTTCCCCAGTGGGCCACGGTCCCTGCCACATCTAACCCCCCAGTGACCTTGTGGGGGTGCAGTCATGTGAGCTAATCCCTAACTGCCCCCCCCCCCCCTTAAACATTGGCAGGCTGTCTTATCAGCACCAAGCCAAGACAGAGGTTCTGCTGCCAACACTTTAAACTTGGGTCTTTGCAGTGATGGAGGCTGTTTTACCTCCACTTCAGAAGCAACGTTTAGTGCCAGGTTTTCATGCCAGCATTTTTAACATTTCGAAATGTGACTGTTTCTTTGTGCCAGGATGGACGAGGATTGTGTGTTCCCATCGTGGGTTTACTCTTGACACGGTGGACAAGCCTCTGAATTAGCATTTGTTTGAACCATCAAGGAAAAGGAAAATTGTACTGAAACCAATGAATTACAGTTTGCAAATGCAATAAATGTCACTGCAAGTTTTACACATTGTTCAGCCCGATTCGCTTTAAACTTTAAATCTCAACAGACAGAGAAAGACAGAAACAAATCCAGAGTCTGTGTTCTTGTGAGCTGAGTCTCGAATCAACCCAGTTCACCGGATCTTCTCTCCAAACTCCTCTGATGCATTAATCTCCTGCTCTCACTTCTCCATTCCCCCCTCTGTTATAGAGCAGTTTCCATTCTGCCACAGGTTCACATTAAAGAGGTGGGAACAGCCTGGTACCTGCAATTATCCCTGCTCACCCAGCCGTGGTGCCACGCAACAGCTGGCTCTCCCTCTCTCTCTCTCTTCTTCCTCACACACACGTGCACCTGAACACGAGCCTCCTCCCCCTTCAGACTCTCACCCACCCATTCCTCACATTCACCTGCCAAGCAGCTTGATTAATAAGGCCAACGCTCCCGGAGAAGCAAACCGCACACACACAGAGGGGAGGGAGGGAGGCAGACAAAGGGGGAGAACAAGCGAGTTGCTACATAGAAATCTACGATATGTGACCATGTACTGTATAATATATTCACGCATAGCAAAAAAGTGATGGGTCATCCCGTCGTCGTGTGAAAAACGTGCACAAAGAGACGGGTGATTGTAAAATATCGCAGTGATTCAATAAAAGCAGTCAGAGTCATAATCTATCTTGATGTCCCTCAGCACCTTTCTCTTCTCTCTATCTGTTTGCCACAGGCCCAAAGCTCAGCTCTTTGATTCCGTCAGTTGGATGGATCGCTGCAAACCGTGGAGACTGTCACTCCCTCGCTTTCACACAAACACCAGCAGGTGGAATCAACCAAAGTTGTTTAATAATACTTCGAAAGATGTTCCTTCACACTTGGATCGTCTACTGTCGGGGCTTGGCTTTGTGTTTTTGGTCCAGATATTAACGGTTGAACTCGAGAAGAAATAAAAAAAGATTATGGATCATTTTCCACGTTTTACTGCTTGAAGCTAATATTACATCGAATACAGTCAGAATACAATAAGACCCAAAGACTGTAAATACTCCAGGATTGAGGTTTCTACAATATTGGAGTCTACAGAGCGACTACATCTCGGCTGTCAATCCCAGAAGAGCGTAATGGCGGCATATTAAAGCCCATGAGTGTAGAATGTGAAGATAAAGAAACTTTCCTCTTCGGTTTTGTCAAAGGCACAGAGAGACAGAGATCCCGATCAGAGGGCACGCTAGCAAAGTGCTTTGTCAAATCTGCCCTGACTTTCCATCCATTTTCACAACTGCAGTCATAAGCAATCCCGGAGATCTATGAAACTTATCTTCCTGCCCTCGTCTCATTGCAGCTGCTGAGGCAGCACCTGGATTTAAATGACTCCACTGACAGAGACAGGATTCATTTCTGGACCCTCCTGAAAAATGATGCCGCCCCCTGCTCTGCATCACTGTTTGAAATGGTTGTTCTGTACGTTCTCTCTGGTTCGGTGAGTGTCACAGGTGTTATATGCGACATATAACCCCCACCGTATTAAAAGGCAGCTACACAATGGAAAGGTTCTTCATATATACATTTAAATATATATATTTCTAGTATAAAGCAATGAAAAAATAAAGAATCAGTTTCTCTGTCGTGTGTAACAGCAGACACACGTTCCTCGTTTGTCATCTGGAATCTCTCCGTTTTCAGTGTCGGGTGTTTCTGGGGTCATAGTGCCCTTCCTTGTTGAAAAGGTCAGGAGGAAACACAGGCTGAAATTTCATCCACTTCCTCTGCAGTGTTCACCATTAACGAGCATTTAAATCACATCGATCAGCTTCAGCTGCAGTAACACTTCAGTCCAGAATACAGTGACGTTTAAATGACATGACTCACATCAGAGCCCAGAGAAATCAATGAAAAGACAAAATCCTAACACTGTCATTACACACTGGCTTTTAGAGGAGTTGGACATTTTTGGCAGTGTTTCGGTTTTAACCTGTGAAGTACCTTGTGACTGTGTTTTGAAAGGTGCTATAGAATTTAAGTTTATTATTATTAGTATTATTACTAGTAAAGTGGTGAATGAGTCAGTGGACAACAGCAGTCGGTCTCTGTAACATCAGCTCAAGCTTCATCTGGAAATGACTGAACCTGAAAACCTCTCAGAGATCAATTCATTAGCTGTATTTTAATTCCACCATCACTTTATCAGCTTTTAATAAGAAACAACTGGCACATTTTGATAAATAAAAATATACTGTGGTTATACGTGGTTTTAAAATTAGCTTACAGTCTCTGATTTAGCCAGGAATTGCCCTTTAAGTAATATTTATGTATATGGATCCTGAAATGCAGGCACCGGTGTTCCCACCACAGACTGTATGGTAAGTAGATACCCCCCTCTAGTGGGCCAGGATTCTAAATAATGATGTTAAGAAATGTTGCATAATCAATAGGCTTTCACTTCAGCGAGAAAACACATTAGAGATTTATGACAGTACAATAAATCTGTATTTCCATTCTATTTATTCTTTTTCTGTTTTATTATATACATATATATATATATGAAATGTATATATATTTGTATTTTATTATATACATATATATATATGAAATGTATATATATTTGTATTTTATTCTTAAGGTAGTAGCAGTGACCCTGCTGACATACAAGCAAACAAACAAACCAAACAGGGGTGAAAACGTCCTTTCCTTGGAAGAGGTCAAATAATCCTACATAACTTTTAGGAAGGAGTCGTGTATCATGCTCTCCACCTCCTCCACCAGCACACCATACTCTGCCTGACAAACAGTGTGCCCCCCCCTGCTGCGTTCCTTCAGGCATTTCATCATCTCTCTGTGCATTTCAGGTCTGGACGCAGTCGACCCGAGCTTCTGCAGCTGCTCAACGGGATCCTCGGGAATATTTGGGATTTGCAAAGCTTTGAACACAGCAGGAGCAAATTTCCCGAAGTGAGCAGTGGAAAGAAGCACCACAGGGCACGAGCCGTCCTGCAGCCTGTCTGCCACGACTTTAGCCACGGCGGTGTGTGTGTCCACGACGTAACCCGTTTGTGTGTGAACGCTCTGGATGGCGGCCAAGCAGTCGTCTTCAGAGCACCAGCCAGCCAGCACTTCCTGCTGTATCCTGCCAAGAAGAGGCTCAGGAACCTGAAAGTGCTGCTGCCTGTCCAAGCGCGTGAACAGATCCTTGACAAGACGACTGTCTCCGTCTGAGACGTGGTAGATAAACCTCTCCAGGTTGGAGGATTTCAGGATATCTATAGCCGGAGAGTGGGACAGCATCAGTGGCCGTCCCCGGAGGTCATACTCGCCCGTGGTGATAAAGTCTGTGACAACGCGGTTGTGGTTGGACGCACAGATTACTTTTCTTATCGGGACGCCCATGCGCTTGGCGTACAGGGCCGACATGGCGTTGCCAAAGTTGCCAGTCGGGATGCAAACATCGATGGGCTCCCCAAACTTGATAACACCGTCTCTGCACAGATCCAGATAGGCTGAGGAATGGTACACCAGCTGCAAGAGGAGCAAAGTTTGTCAGTTTGAAAACAGTTTAGAAATGTTTTGCCTCATTATATTTTGCTTTAACTAAAAAAAAATACAATGACATCTTCTCTAAAACAAAGAAAACTGTCAAGGACGTAAATGAAAAGTTTTAAATATTAAACACAGCACTGGGAAAAGCACTGAACTAACACGATATTTAATAATAAATGTATTTACCTGCTTGTTTATCATTGAAAATTAATATATTTTTGTGTTTTTTGACTTTTGGAAAACATAAATTGCTTTTTCCTACTTTCTGACGAGTTATCCAATCAACTGATAAATCGGACTCTGGGTCCTAAAGGAATTGAACCATCGTTTAAGTCACTGCTGACACTTTTTTAGCCATCGAATGAAATTGTCTGCTGAGTCAAAGAGACCCGTTCCCTGACCTGTGGCAGCAGCCGAGCCCAGTTGATGGAGTTGGCGGTGCTGAGGACAGTCCCGTATTCCACGGCGAGGTGCCCCGTCAGCCCGCTCTCTCCGAACATCCTCTTGATGCTCCTCTGACAGAAGTCAAAGTCTGACAGGACACTGACGGCCCTGGCATTGCCCTCCCTGTAGCTCATCATCTGCAGCTTCTGGATCTCACTCACTCCTTCCTCTGGGAAAAACACCAGCACGCCCGTCTTTTGTCGGTCAGTCCCGGCGAGCTTGCTGAACCCGCTGAGCACTGCGCTCCCGGTGTCTCCAGAAGTGGCCACCAGGATGAGGTAGTTGCACATCGGAGGGAGGCAGTAGGCGAAGAGCTGGGGCATCAACTGCAAGGCAAGGTCTTTGAATGAAGCCGTGGGGCCGTGGAACAGCTCCTGAACGTACTGATTGCGGTGGAGATGTTTTACAGGTGCAACTGCCTCACTGGAGAAGTTCGACCCATAGGACTCGAACACCATTGTCCTGAGATCCAAAGCGCAAACGTCCAATGGGTGTATGCACTTTTCAAGCAGAACCAACGCTCGCTCTGGGTACGACATGTCCACTAATCTCAGCCATTCTCCAGCATCGAGCTTTGGGATTCCATTTTTGGGAACGTAGAGGCCTCCGTCTTTGGCCAGACCCTCAACAACCACATCAGCGAAGTGTGTCGATCCCACACTGTCACACCTGGTTGACACGTACGTCTCTGCGGCGTGATCTTCATATCTCTCCACAGCCTTCAACACCTTCTCGGCCACGTCCTCCACCGTGTCTCCCGTCCCGCACAGCACACGCACGTCCAACCATTTCTCATAGAACTGCTTCCTGTAGAGCAGAATGTCCCTCATGGACGCCCCCGCCTCCTGACCCACTATCCTGTCCACCTTCATCCTGGTGAGTCTCTGCATGATGTCCTCAAAGTGCACGTCCAGGTAGACGACCACACCGCTCCTCCTGACGTGCTGCATCGCCTCAGCGTGGAGTGGGTTCGAGCCCGTGAGGGACACGACACACCCGGAGGCGGAGAAGTTGCACAGGGCATGACCTTCCTCCTCGAGGAAGCGCTGCCCGCCGACTGACGCCAGCTTTGCAGCCACGGGCATCTTCCACGTGGTCTCCAAGATGTCGTCATCCACGTCAATGACAGGGAGTCCCAGTGTCCGGGCCACGGTCCTCCCCACTGAGGTCTTCCCTGCTCCGGGGGGACCCATGAGGAGGATGTTCCTGCGCCCTGGACGACTGACCCTGGTGGAGAACCATCTGTGGACGGGGCTCAGGTGGAGGCTGGCGGCTCTCAGCACCAGCTGACGTGCGCTCAGTGAAGCCATCATGGAGTCACATGGCACAGCTGCCCCCCCCCCCAAGAGAAGAAGAAACCAACAGACCCGGTTAGAAACGTTTTTGTTTCAGCGAGTGAAGAAACTTCCGACAACACGTGTTTCACTGCAACGTCACGTCCAAAAACAACTACGGTCAGCCAGGTGGGACAAAACTCACATTTCTCTCAAGTAACGTATTGTGAGCGCTTATATTTCCTGTAAAAACCTCACACACACATGTTTTAATGTAGTCATTAGCCGTGCGTGGATCAGATGCTTTATTTCAGGCTTTTTAATTGAAAATAAAACACGTATAAATACTTTTTTACTTTCGCGAAACCTCCACGTACAGCGGACGCTATGGTGCATTCAAGTGCGCCTCAGAACCTCGTAAATCAGTGTTTCATACTTAATTCTTACTTCAACTAATTTTGGATGGATTTTTTTTTTTTTAAAGCTGCATATGACTTAAAGTTGATGACTTGCAAGTACATAGTTTCACAACATGATCAATATATTTCTTTGACTGATTAAATAATTTTTTTCATCCTCTACCAAAAAGCTGCAAAGATCTGTGGTGATACATCTCGTCATTTACTAATTGGATAAACCTCCTGCTTTGAAATTATTTTTATTTATTTATTTGTTAAATCGATGAAGTCCTGGCTCCTTTGTGTCTGATTTCAATCCATGCCTGTCGAGTTAGTACTTATTGCTCCTTCTATCTTTGTATGTTTATTTCATTTTAGTACGTATTCTTCTTTTACCGTTAATCTTTTTGATTTGGTGCACTCTAATAGTATTTCTTTAATTGTATTTTCCTACTAGTGTTTGTATGTTAAATGTCATGTTCAATAAGGTAAACAAATTTGATAAAACATTTTTTTAATGTAAACATGGTTAATATTTCTTCTTTAAACATAAAGTTTTGATTCATTCATTTGTAGGAAAGAAAAAGAATATAAAGTCTACTGATAAACTTTATTTTTTTCAATTATGTCTTTGAGGACAAGACAGAAGAGTACAGAAAAAAAAAATAGAAATCTGAAAGTTTGCAGTTTGGTGTTGGGGATGGAGAGCAAACCTGAGGATCGTAGCCTTCTGAGCGGAGTGTAGGGTTGGAGGAGGTCGGTTAACTATGGTGGGGCTAGAGCATGGAGGGATTTGTAAGTGAGAAGGAGGAGTTTGTAGTTAATGCAGGGGCCAGCCAGTGTTGTAGTGGGGAACCAGGCCATCAGCCATGGTGCTCAGGGGATCTGAAGCCAGGTGTAAAGCCAGTAGGTTTGCTAGGGCTGGTGAAGTCACCAGGTGTTCCTAAAGGTGATGGTGCATTTTGTGTGATGTCTGTCTGGGCAGGGGGATAGAAACTGTGAAAAGGATGGCGTGAGAGACCACCAGGTCAAGGCACTGCAGCTGGGAGAGGGTTGTGCCAGTGGAGCGTATCAAATCCAGTGTGTGACCTTTGGCATGGGTGGGTTGTGTGATGTTGAAGCAGTCCAGCAATGACAAGAATTCAGTGTCCAGTGTGCAGTTGGTGGAGTTGACGTGAATATTGAAGTCACCAAGCAGTAATGTAGATGGAGACATGGAGCAGACAGCTCAGACATGAAGGTGGAGGAGGCTTTTCTTGGGCACATTCAAACGAGGTGGTATTAGTGTGCACGTGTGGTTTATTGTGATGACGTCGTCAAGGTGCGCCAAGGAGTATTCGATGAGCACCATCTCAGCAGCGCAGGGAAGCAGCAGCTAACCTGTTAGCTACTCTCCGTGGAGTGGGCTTCAGATGGACAAGTCGGGGAATGCTCCGATGTTGTGGGAGACCGGGGTCCAGTCAGGGTGAAGTCAGATAAGTCATCCCTTTCGAGGTAGATTGGTCTGGAACTCTCAAAGAGGGCAATGTTCGCCTCCAGACGACACAGCTCTTTCTCCAGTCGGTCTTTTCTGGCAAGCATTGAAAAGGTTTCGAGGACGAATGGTAACAGCTGGTAATCACTGTGCACCTTCTTCCAGGTCTTCCTCAGGCCCTACAGAGAGTGCAACCAGAGAGGACCACCAGTCAGTGTCAAAATTAATACAGCTTGATAATGCATATGTTGTCTACTGTTTTAGGGAAGGAATTGCCACCGTGCAGCCATTTGTTCAAATACCTTCAGGATGTATTCTCGCTCTGCGTCTGACATCAGTTTCCTGGCCATCTTATCCAGCTCATGTTTCAACACGGAATACTCCTCCTCAGCCTTCTTCAGTTTTTCCTTGTGGAGTTGGACTAAGTACTTAGGAATTTTTCCATAATCCTGCAGATAGAAAACAGCAACCTTCAATAATATGTTCACTGTGGGGCAATTTAAATATGAATCATCAAATGTCATCAATACAGAAAAGACTTTGCTTTTGGACGTAACTACGTATAATATTATTGGGAACTGAAGCCTAAACTGATGAATTTGTGAACTCATCAAACGGTTTAAACTGACTTCAGCAAACAATGTCTCTGAGATTTTGTTCAAAATGTCTCCCAAACTTTTCTTTTGTGTAGGTACCTCTTTCTTGGCGTAGACAGGGACATACCCAGAATCTTTAAGTATCTGCCTGTGCCCCTTGATGTCAATAAAGGCGGGCTCATGGGTCACCTTCTTCAGCTTTTGCATTGTTTTTAGAAAGTTCCTCTTTGGTCTCATGAGCACAGGTGGGTGCTCTGTGCACAAAGGAACAGGTGGTTTCTTCATCGAGCAGACGTGAGGAACCCCTTTCGAGAGGATATGAAAAGGAAATTCATATACAATACACAATCATTGCTCAAATATGCACACAAGCATTGGTCATGTCATCGGCAGAAAAACTCACTCTCAGGTAGTTTGGGCTTATTTTTAGGCACCCTGATGGATTTGTAAGGTTCCACCTCTACTTTTGCTGGTCCCATCGTTCGCATTGCCATCTTGTTTGCCTTGCTCTCGACAAGAACTTGTGGTCGAAACTTGGAGACATACCTTACAGGGAGCAGAAATTATGATTAATCTCTCCAAACTTTCCTGTTTGAGCCACATGTAAATTGCAACATCTTCCACCATAAATTGGATTAATGTTCAGTGCACTACTTATGGTCTAACTCTGCTTACTAATTAACTCAACTGACAAGATAAACTTATATAAATATGTTTTACCTACATTGATAGTGTTCTTTTTAACAGCTGTCGACATACCTCTGCATTTTTTCTGGAACATCAGCCACCTTTTGTGTAAAGATTGATTCTTCAGGCCATTCAGGAACACTTTTCTCGGCTTTTGAGATTTTCTTGTAGTGAAAGTCCAAACCACACACATATGGACGTTCTTTGCGTTTATCCGCAGCAGCTGCAGACTGCGACCAGGTGACTTTAGGCTTCTTGACTGTAGACATGTTGACTTTAGTCGTGGTGCATTGGTGAATTAATTGACCGACTAATTGAAATTGAATATTCCAGCTGTTGTAATTGTCACAATTCAGAAGTGCCTTTCTGAGAAATTCTACTGTGTTCTTGCAGCAAGGAACACATTATAGAGTTTTTTTTTTTTTATGTAAAGAACAACCAAAGGCAAGGCAAAGCCTTATCTGTTATGTGTAATGGGTTTACCCTCACATCAAAGGCTTGGCTTGCACCTTCGATGCTTGTTGACGGTTGGCGACTGTCAACAAACAAAGAAGAAGATCAAAGGCAGTTAATTGATTTTTAAGATTTCATTACCGTGACAATATAAAGGCTACATGAATGTTACTTGTTGCTTGGTAACAGGATCACTGTCAGCAGTTCGGCTTACATGGAGTTCAACTCTGGTGAAATTCGACCAATGACAAATTTCACAATTAGTCAAGCTTGTGTGTTGGCATGTCCCTTGGTATCCCAGCACCTTTCCCCAATTGCTAAAGAACAGACTCTGGTTCCAAATGCACAAAATGGCAGCGTTTGAATCTGTGATATTTTAGCTTTGTAATGTTTGGAATAAGTAGGGACATGTCATCCTCTTTTAAATATAAAGTCTATGGTTTAGTGAGGAAACATCACTCTCAGACAGAGGATGATTGACTGGTCATGAAAACACTAGGCTCCTAATTTTAAATAAAAACAGCTATGGCACTGTCTAACACCTGGAATAAATAAATAGAGGGATTGACTTCACGTTGTTGAATGTTTCTTCAATAACAGTAAATGTTAGACAGTCTGGCCCATAAACATCCAAAAGGATCTGATGTATGTTTCTCTGTATGTGGTCAAAGATGGGGACCATTTCATTTTTTGAATTAGCTTTCACATGTAGCTATAAGAACATCATGAATTTAATTATAGATATTTTCTTTGTTTGTTTATTTGTTGTAGTTTTGTAGCTTTTCTTTGCAACTCCACTCAAAGAAAACCTTCAATTAATGACTCATGAAACCGCTGGAGGAAGACATGGACTTCTTAAAGGAATCCAAAGCCATCTACATCCCCAACCGCTTGGTCTTGTTGTTTTGGAGTTGGAAACTCCAGTTGCCTCCCACGATCCAAAGAGTAAAGAAAAGCTAGAAAAAAGAAATGTATAAATTAGACATGTTCAAACTTCATTGATAAATTGAATATCCATCAGGATTTCAAACAGACCAACTTTTCTAGGAAAACTGCAAATGTACTTTTAGAAATATTAAAATTGTGCATCAGATGACAAAGTTTGATTTGTTCTGTCTTGCAGTGCAGGCTTGAAACAGAAGCCTTTAAAATCGAATTACATAAAATTCACAGCAGAGAATTTGAGCCAAATATTTGTCATCGTTTTGTTTCGTCCTCCCTCACTGGCTTGTGATGCAGCCACATGGCAGCATCACATGAATCTGATTATCCTTGTAATTCTCCACGACTAAAACAGAGATGTCCTTTTTACGACTCCAGTGTGATCAGAACAGGCGCATGTGGCTGCCCTGGACTTCTCCTCATATCTTTTGAGCTTCTTTTTCTCCCCCTCCGTTGGACGATCACTGAAAAGACGGGAACAAAACAGTAAGAGATGCTTTGGCTGTAACAGCTGAATTGTTGTGCAGCAGGTTGTTGTTGGTAGAGATTTTTAGTGAATAATTTGTGTTTCTGAGCTCCAGGACATTCTCCTCCCTCAAGGAATATGCAGCCTTGACCCAAGGTCACCTTACTTCTTGTCCTGCCCTTTTTCTTGTGTTTCTTCACAGGATCAAATGGAGAAGCCTCAGTTTTAGGAGCAGTTTATGTTGTGTATTCTACAGAACATCCCCACAACCGGAATAATCCCAAACCCAGGTCACTGCTATTGTTTTCCCTGTGTCAACGCAGTTGCAGGAATGGAAAGAGGAATTGTGGTATGTTCAACACAAAGTCCAAATTCAGACATTTTGGTTTATCTTTATATTTTGTGTTGATATTTGTATTAAGTTGCAGAACTCAGTTAACAACTGCTTAAAATTATAATTAGCATGTTTGTAAAGGTTTTAGGAAATTAGGGTTCATCTATAAGTATTTCAAAAACTATACCTTGCACTTAGAAAGTTATATTAACAAAATTTCTAACTTAATTATGAAAATACTTACAACTTTTTATGTTACCAGTTGAATTTTCTTTTTTTTTTACTTTTGTCCCGTGAAATTCCAGTCTATAGAAATCTATGAGTGTTTAAAAACAACTTTATTGTATTTGGCTGTTCCCTTTCAAATAACACGTAACATTATTATTCTACATCACCTACCTTACATGTCGTAGATAAAAGATGACTGGTCAGGTTACAGTCTGGACCTGTTCACCTACCCAGAACACTACCACGAGGACATAGAGAGCATTTATATCCCACACGGCGTCATCATGAACAGGTAAAAACACACAGACAAGGAAAGGCAGAGTTTTTCATCATTTTCCCAGTCACTGATGTGACATCTCCCGCAGGGTCGAGCGTCTGGCCCACTACATCAAGGACGACTTCGGGGACGGCAACATAATGGTGCTGTGCGTCCTGAAGGGAGGATACAAGTTCTGTGTCGATCTGGTGGAGTTCATCAAAATTCTTGGCCGCAACTCGAACAACTACCTAGAGACCCGGGTGGAGTTTATTCGTCTGAAGAGCTACCTGGTAGGAGAACTGCAGTCAAAAGTCAGAACTTCCAAATCTCTGCAAATCTCAGCAGACAACTCCCTCATATCCTCAAGCATGTTATTTTCTTATAGTTTTTTTTAATTGTTTTATTTTGCCTTAGATAGTTTTTGAGCTGAAATACATTCACATTACTTACAGTCCTGCATTTGTGCAGCAAAGTATCTCAGGGATATATGTTGTCCTTTGGCCCAGCCACCAGATGTCACTGTTGTTTATGTTTAGTGAGGAAACATCACACTCAGTCAGGACACTTAGAGCTCAGGGTCAAGAAAAACACCAGGCAGCTAATTGAAAATCTAAATATGACCCTGTCTAACACCTGGAATGTATAACTGAGGAATTGACTTCAGGGATGATGTTTACCATGAAATCTTTCTGCATCACTCTCCGTCACTTGTAAGACGGGGTATTTTGGCACAGACACATCCAAGGGGATCTGATTTATATTTCTCTGCATGGGGTCGCATTCCTGCTCCGCTCATGCAGCACAGGGGGAGAGTCACCATTTTTATTTTTTGATTTGGCTTTCACATGAGGTTAAGTAGCTGCAAGAACAGCATGAATTGAATTATGGAGAGTTTCTTTGCTTTTACCAGATCTCACGTTGTTTATTTATCATTTTATCATTTTTATCAATAAATGATAATAGAAAGATAATTATAAAATAGTTAAAACACAAAGAATTACATGAAAGTAAATACAAATACAGTCACAAAGAATAAAAACACAATGACCACTCATAAAAATAATAAAAACTAGAGTTATGTTGTTTTTAAAATAAGGTTTAATATATATCCTTGTTAATTTTTATATCTTTTCATAGTTTTTATCTTTTTTACATATTACAAGTTCCAAACACTTTTTTAACAGTAGGAAAACACTGTTAATCACAAAAATAAAAACAATCCAAGGTTAATCCATATATGGAAAAAAGAATCAGGTTCATTCATCGATTTATTAAACAAAAACACGATCAAGATATGTTGACAACATGGCAGCGAGCATGGACTGGGCTGGCGTCTGAGTGATGACGCAGTCCGTCTCACGGGTCATGATGGAGTCATGTGACCTGCCCCCAGGACAGGGATCTTGTCCATGTCACAGTTTCACTTCGTCCCAATCTAACTTTAAAGCTCGTCCCAGCTACAGGGACTTTTGTTGAGTATTTCAAGGAAACTTTGAATATTATTGTTATTATATTATATTACGCTGGCACAGGGATTCCACCACATTATACATTCACAGTCATTGCAAAACAAGTCTCCCTTTGTGCATTTGTCTTCCATTAATGCTGCAGATAGTTGCACAGTAAAGCCAAGTTATTGAGAAACACTACAGTTAGATGCAGTTTGTCCTTAAGAAACCATATGTTACTCCGTCTCCCAACCAGAAATCTGGCAGCTTTTATTCAGTGAATTATAGCGGCTGAAAAGCACCAGTGTTGTAAAAAGTTACAACATCTATATGATGTTACTGTTGCAGAAGACAACCTTCTTCTTCTTCTTCTTCTTCTAATTCTTCTCCTTCTTCTTCTTCTTCCCAGAATGACCAGTCGACAGAGGACCTGCACATCATAGGAAGCAGAGATCTGTCGTTTCTGCGTGGAAAGGTGTGAGTAAATTACAGTTGTAATGTTGTTGCACTGTTTCCCTCTACAGCTTAAAAAAAACATGTTAATATACACAACTTCAACAACACGACCAAATACCACAACACATTCTACTACTCTCAATTCAACCAAATACCACAACACAACCAAATACTCAAAACAGAACAAAATACTCGCAACACAATAAAATCCCCACAATGCAACCAAATACTCACAACAGAACATGGAGCCTTTCAAGGGGACACAAAAATGTGTTGAACACAACGCTTGTTGTTGCCATGGTTTGTGGTTCATGAAGTTGCTGGTAGACGTTGGTTAAAGTTGTGTCTTGGGTATTTGGTTGTGAGTATTTTTGACAGTAACTTTGTTAAAGTGGTTTGCCCTTCGCCAGTGTGGCCATGAATCCAACATTTCAGGCAAACAAATGTTCCCAGGAGGCAGATTTACTGACTGTTCAGCTCTGGAAGGGAGGACAGAGGCATCGTGAGGAATCATCCCTCCTCACTACATCATTCTCTGAGATAGAAAAGAAACTTCACTTTACTTGGCTGATGAATGCCCACACGCATTGGCTTTAAAAAAAAAAAAGGTCCATGTGGAATTCTATTAACTTAAAAAGGTTGGAGGGGAAAAAACTGAGGCTGGAACAGAAAACATGAATCACCCCAGTTTGTCTGAGTCACTCTGGTCGACGCTCTCGTTACGATCCCTCACTTTGATGGAAATATTGAACACAAACCTCCCACAAAGACTCTTATATTATCACCAAACTCTTCATTAGTCACCTGAGCTCTATGAGGCCTGTACAGTGACGAGGTTGAGTCATACGAGCGCACCACAACTGTGGAGAAGCAGTGACGCCAGTTTCTTAGCATGATTTGATGTTTTTCTATTATTTTTGTCTTTTATCTAATTCGTGAATTTAAATGTGGTTTCGTAACTGTTGGGCCTTGGCAGAATTACGCGCTCTCTGATGATGAGGTACAGAAAAGACACAAAAGTCAAAATCGAATGATCCCATGAGAGCTACAAAATAATCCCAAACAATGATGCAGAATCAAATATCCGCCAATGTATAGTTGTGGTCCAGCTGGCTTCAGATTATGTTTACGCTTTGTAGCACGCACCATGACAGGTCAGCTACGTTTGAGTTTCCATCTTGTCTTACACGTCCCCGTCTACTTTCTCCGAGTGTTATGTAACAGGGTTCAGGTGTAGACCGGGAACATTGGCCGTCCGCCTGCATTCTCTCCAATCGCTCCCCCCAAACCATAGATACTCTCCACTGGTCGCACAAAGGGCCCCACACACTCGGCCAAAAGGAACAAGGAGTCACTTGAAAACTGGAGGGAAAGTGTGCAACACCCAGACACTCAGAAGTGACTTTATATTCACTGTAGACGCAGATGTTCATTACGGCTGAAGAACAGAACGAGTCTGTGTTTTTGTAAAGGCACTTGAGATACTGCTAACATTGTTGCCATAGATACCATCTCTAAGAAATGTAAAATCCACCGAAATAAGCAGCCTTTATTTTCACTTTGCTGGAACCGTGTTAAAACTCAAAGGTCACGATGAACTAATGTGTGTCTGTTTTTCTTTTCGCATGTTACCAAGTGTGTGCTGATTGTTGAGGTGAGTGTAAAGACTCTTACTTACAACTTGAACTCTGAGACTTTAAAGAAAGATGGACGACACGACAGCTCCCAAAAAGTGAAGCCAAATCATCTTAACGGCCCCTGGTGGCTAGTTGCAATATAGTTCATAAACTATGCCTCCTCCATGTTAGCAAGTCAAAATAGATTTTTCCCATCTATGTTTTAATGGTTTCCTGATACTTGTATCACAGACTTCGGTTTCCATAAAGAAAAAGTAAATAAGTGTGAGAATAAAACTCAAGAAAAAATATCTCACTATCACTTTTTTCCTCTTTGAAAGCATCCGGCCCTCGAGTGTCCCACGTCCCTCCCTCCTCATCTCTCCTCCCTTCCTTTGCTCTTCCCTTCCCTCAGGCCATAGTTGACACAGGAAAGACCATGAAGGCTCTTCTGAAGCATGTGGAGACCTTTGAACCCAAGATGGTCAAGGTCGCAGGGTGAGCCCGTCATTCGATCATCTGTGTTTTTCCCCCACCAGTGGAAATGCCAAGCGTGTGACGAGCAGGAGAAGAAGATATCACTCGTCCGCATTCGCTATCTCGTGTGCATGGGCAGTTCCCTTTGTGGTCCTAAGATCACACACACAAGATAAACATCTTTCCTCTCTGATGGCTAGTGTTGAAAGTTATTTCCCTTTTTTTACGTGTGTAAAGCTGTGTAAGCATTGGCATGTCATCCATGCAGGTTCCATCTTTGAATGTGTATTTGTTAAAGTGATGATAATTATAAATAAAGATAAGTAGTTATTTATTCTTTGTTGTGCTATAACTTTTCATGTAACGTGTGTTTTAGTTTGCTGGTGAAGAGGCTCCCCAACATGGCGGAACATCTGACCGACTGTAAGTACTCATGGTTTGAACACGATTGTTGGTTTGTTGATTCTGCCAAGAAAGTTATATTTTCATTTCTGTTTGTTTGCTTGTCTGAGCAGCAGGATTACACAAAAACTACTCAACTGGAGCGGATCCCATTAAGGGGGCAGATCTTGGAATGGTCATTTGGATCTGCACCAATTTTCACACACTCATAGATATCAGTCCCCAAATGATGCCGGATTTGTTTAATCAAGATCCATGAATTGTTCTCTGACAACAAAGATATTGAAAACGCATAACGCATCGTAATAAATAAAATGCAGAGATCTCAATGAGTCACATCAGGCACATGCAAAGTGTTAATATCTTTGAAAAGGTGAAATTGTAAGCAGCAGACTTTTGTGTGTGCACGGTTTAGTCCATTCAAAACTTCTCTGTGGAAACAAAATCTGTAGGTTTTCACTTCTATTGTGTCAAGTTACTTATTAACATTCCTCTCTGTATTTGCTCTGATAGATGTTGGATTTGAAATTCCCAACCGCTTTGTTGTTGGTTATGCCCTGGACTACAATGAATACTTCCGTGACCTGAATGTAAGTGAGTGGGCCGACTGACACCGCTGCACACCGCACATGACCTTTGGAAAAGCTGAGAGAAAGGGATGAAAGAGACAGGATGGGAGAGTAAACGCTGCAAATCAAAGAGACGTCCTTTGCCCCTGAAATCTAGACTCACCCACAGAGAATCCTCCCTGTCGGAGGAGACTGTAGATGCAGGCATGTCACTTGAGTCAAATGACCAGCAGGGGGCGACTCCACTGGTTACTTCTATGGAAGTCTATGAGAAAATCCCACAGCTTCTCACATCATTTATAACATCAGTAAACCTTTTCATCAATCTCTAGTTTCAAGTCGTCTTCAGTACAACATGATGTTCATTTTGTAAATGATTGTCCCGTTTAGGTGGGCGTGTAGTGTCCTTGAGCTTTCAGCCAGGCTCCACCCCCGCTATTCCAAATATGGTAACTTTTGGTTGATGGCGTTGGACAATTGTGAAGTCTAGTCCGCACATTTGTGTCTCGTAGGATGAATTCAAATTTAAAAACTTCAATTTGTCCAATATTGTGTTTCCCTGATCATTTTGCTTCTTCACTGGTTTTGTAAACCTTCTTACTTTCTCTACACTCCTTGGGTCAGAAGTGCGGTCATTCCTGTTTTCCTTGTCGCCCCCCTGACAGTTTACTTCACGCCAGATTTGTCATTCTCTGAAATTAGTGAGAGCAAATCCATGGGAGCTTCATCATTTTTATATCTGCAAAGACGTGGCCTCAAATTTACCTCTGACTCATGTGAAACACTAACCCCACACTGACTCCCATAGCTTTGGGTGTGGGTGTGTGTATATGGTGCTGCGTGTACTGTAGGTACTATATTAGTGTGTGTGTGTGTGTGTGTCCTGTGCATGTTTGAGGGGGGTGGTATTCTTTACGACAGTTTGAAACAGGGTGACATGTGGAATGCAGAGGTTAGGATCTCATTATCAGGCAGAGTTGAAGCTTCCCCCTCTTATCTGTCTTTATCCTGCAGGAGAAATATGAGTTGAACCCCCGGGACTGCCGAAGTTAGATTAATGAACATGTCATATCTTTGTAGATCACCTTCCCTGCTTTCAAATCACTGCAAACGTCTCTATATGCCATATTATGCTGGAATGTCCCATACGAGACGGTGATCTTAAACCCACATTGTGCCATCATCAGATTTAATATTCATGGAGAAGATTAAAACATGATGTTCTGTTAATTTAACATGAAATAACTAATTCCTCTTTCTCCCACCTCTTTTTTTTCAGCACATCTGTGTTATCAGCAAGACTGGAAAAATGAAGTACAAGGTTTGAGAGGAATTAAAACCATGAATTATGACCAGCTTTACATAGAGGCACAAAACTATGTGTTAGGGCTTTTTGCAGCTGGAATCCATTTGCATTTGAATGTGTGTTTTTATGTAATTTGTGTGTTTAAAAAGTTGCTCAAAGCGGCATATTCCAAATTTGTGGAATGACTTCATGAAATAACTTTGAATTAAAAAATAAACATATATAAATTCCATGTGATGTTGTGTTGCCTCATCCACCCACTCATTGGATAAATGAGAGAGAGACGCGCTGCCCACCAGGAGAGGACGTTGGTGACAGATGGAGCGAGCTTATGGACGCTGGCATCGCTGTGCCCGGACGACGCCCACCTCTGACTCATGGAAAACACACAGTGGGCGCAGCAGACAGGCCGAACGGCGTCTCCACACTGACAACATTTGTTTTCAACTTGAACCAGGCTTTGCTGCAGATGGGGAAAAAAAACATAAGAATTCACCGGGCAAAACCAAAAATGTATGATGTGTAAGTACTTCACTCTCATAGTTTGTCAGTAAAACACTCTGGGTGTATTTTATACTACATGTTGAGTACCTTTTACATTTACTGAGACTTCAACTTGAAGGCCATTTTCAAACACAAAAGTTTGTCTTACATATCCAACATATTCATCATTATCTGACGCATATCCTGAGATAGTTGGATTATTTTTTTGTTTTTCCTCCATCGTGTGTTAGAAACATTTACCCGCTACATTTTACTGGCAGGAAAAAATTCAGGGAAACGTCAGAAGCATCTGACCCAGAATCAAACGAATTCTCATGTACAGGCCCTCTGGGAATTGTCAGCACATGAAAGAAAGATGGTGTATCGTGAAGAATGTGCAGAGTTTGACACGAGTTCAAATTCATATGAACGGGGGAAGTTTCTCTGTGATCACCTGGTTTGGAAACATGGAGCCTCCAGAGCACAAACACTGACAATTGACTTCAAGAGATGTTGAAGAAATATTTGCATTTTCACCAAATCGATATCTCGGTTTGAGGAATTTTTAACAACCTCAGACAAATTGCACAGTCATTTGTCTTTTTGCTTTAATGGCAGTGTTTTGTTCTTTCATCATAAGTTCCTCAATAACTGAAAAAAATCTCTTTATTCCACTGGTTCGCAAAATAAACAAACATTAGGCCTGTTGTGTTTTCATGAGGTTTCTACTGCAGCAATTAAGCTCTTAGTGCTTGATGTCTGGAGGATGGTGCTGCAGTGTGGAGGCTAGAAATCAAAATACCTGCAGACTGGAGCACAAACATACATGTGACACACACACACACACACACTGAGGTATTTTCTGTGTTCTGTTGCCATCATCCGTGTGACTGAGAGAGTCAATTGTGCATGTCGACAAACAGACCAGAACAAGCTTCACTTCACCCAGCATGCACTCGGGCAGTGTTATCATGTGGTTATGCACTCTTTATTCTAAATCACCTGAAACTCCAAACAGTGTTCACATAGCATGACGGGTTAGTTATTATGATTCTGTAAAGAATTAAGGATATTTGTAATTATCATGCGATGAAACTTCTCAACGAAAAGATAGTGAAGAATTCAGGGTTCACTCTGGGTTGAAGGTGTTTGGCTCTTAACCTGTGCACTCGTCACCGCTCCATGTAAACTAACGAAGTCTAAAGCGTAGGATCATATATTATCATTTTGGTTGTTTCAGACATTTTTATTTCCAGAAATGTTTTCCTGCCTCACTTTTTACAAGCATGTTTCCAAAGGTAATGGTCCAGCTCCAGCGACAAGGCCTCTCCAAGTGAAATGACCTGGTAAATGAGTTGCCATGTGGACAATACGAGTGGATGCAAACAAAAGAGAGATCTGGGAGGTTTGGAGCGTTCCGTTTCCATGTTGTGCTTTCAAAACGCTCTCAGGTTTCACATCTGCGGTGGTAAACAACACCTCCGCTAATACGTTCAGAGGAACCCTGCGCTCAGTCGGGTTTTATCGCTTGTCCTTGACCCTTAAGGTGCAGAGGAATGAGATAAGGAAGACGAAAAGACGCTCAACAAATTACACAGCGTTTTAGTTGTGTGCTATCTGTTCATCTGGAGCCACAAACACTCCCGTTGTTCCTGCGGCTGCAACCCCATGTGTCCTTATCATAAAACATCAGCAGTTGGCGGTAGTGGTTAACTTATCCCAGCGCTAATGCCACCCGCACGGCCCTGGGAACCCGGGGGCCATTGTCTTTCACCTGGAGGGAGAGTTTGTTGAAAGCAAGATGGGACAAAAAGCCTTGCGGTTTTCACATGCTGCGGCTTTGTTGTGTTCCGTCAAGGGAACAGAGGAAGGGGCCAGTCCAGGAAAGTAGGCTTCAGGTAAACTGTGCCCAGAACAAAAGGAACAAACCTGGAATTGTACATTTGAATGACCACACATCCATGCGTTTGACATATGAAGCCAGTGGCTAGAGACGGGGGCGATAGGATTAGATGTCACCAGCTCAACAGATAGAGAGCGTATTTCTCAAAACCAGCTGTTATGTTGTTTTAACTGTGGATTTACAAATGTTTTTATTGTCTTAAAGGTTTAGTGTGGAAGTTTTAGGTGAAAGGGATCTACTGACAGAAATGTGTTAATTGGTCAATTGATGAGCTTATAGGTTTGAATTGTTGGAATTATCCTCTAAAGTTTGGTATTTAACAGCCAGACATGAACAAGAAAGAAAATATATCAATATCTCAAAATGTCTACAACTATTACACTGAAATTTCTGTTTGTGCTTCTGCTGAATTACTGAATGACTTCTTCATTCCCAGTTTGGAACTGAATGAAAACTGCTTCACTGACGCATCTTCAGTCACAAATAGAAAGAACATCCTCCCTGGCGTTCGTTGCATTCCAGTTATAGACCGGCTGGCCAGAGGGTTTGATGGATTGACTGCTGCTGGGTTTCATCCAGTCATCAAACTCTGTGCCAGGTCCACTTACACAACCTGGAGCGGGTCGTGATCCTCATCCTCTTAAACTCTCAAGCTCAACTACAGCTTAAAGAAGAACCTGATGAATGTAGTTGTATACGTCATGTGTAATGGACGTCATATTGTCTGTGTGCGTAAAGGAGTGTCGAAAACCAGTTTCGCACACTTTGCATTCTGTGCTGTAGAGTCATTTCCACCTGTTCTAATCCTAACGCTGCCAGGCTTTGAACTTGGGCTTCATGTGACGTCCTAATCCAGCCAAACATTTTGCTGCCACGAGACAGTTTGTAATCTCTCTCCTGCTGAATGTTTGAGTCGATCTGATTCTGTAGTCACATATTTGGTGTCAAGGAATCAGCAGTCAGTGTTCATACAAATGCTTTTGCAGAACTTTCTGCAGAGGCGACTGAAATAAGGTCGGAAAAAGTGAAATTCAAAGCATGAGCGTGCCACAGGGAACTTTAATCACTGCAATGCAATGCAATGATTGTATTAATGCTGTTGTTGCTCACCATTCATTCATCTAAACTCTTTGCCATTCAGTAAAATGAGAAAGCAACAGTCAAACCTTTTAATAGTTCTCTTGCAAGCAGAAACTTCATTCCACTAATGCACTTTATGTCAAATCAATACAATCCTCTTGCTGCATTTTTAATGTAGTGTGCGTTTAATAAACACATTTCATTAGATGAATCCGAACTTCTTGTTTACCGTCACATAACGCAGAGTCCCACTTCCATCAGTTTAAGTTGTCCATTGTCTAGTTGAGAGTGCACCAGTTCTTTAGACAATAGCGCCTCTCTGAAACCAGGGAAACCTCGCCACAGTGTGGGTCAGAGGAGTCCCATTGTCCTATCTTCTATTGTGCCGCTGGAGGAGCCTGCAAACAGAAAACTGTCAGCCTTTGTCTTTCCGCACATCAGCTGTGTGGCCCTTTTTTTTCATGTGAGTCCCATGTGGCTGCCATGCCCTACATGTCCCCCTAATAAAGTTAAGGACAGTTGATAATGGCTTGGCAAATATGTTTCACTGGTTGAGCGTTAGGAAATTGGAGAGCTCAGCATATGTGCGGGCCTCAGGCTTTTCCCCCCGTCAGTTAATGATGTTCCTGTGATTTCAGTTGCTCTCTTTAAAGGACTGAAAGGCTTAATGACAGAGTGTGAGGGGAAAGTGTTTATGAGCTGATGTGCTGTGAGAGCACGTCTCAGTGAACGAGTTAGATCATCTGAAGAACCTCACTCAACTGGAGACGTATCAAAACCTTCATGGTATCTACAGCTCAAATACACTCTATCTATCTATCTATCTATCTATCTATCTATCCCTCTCTATCTATCTATCTATCTATCTATCCCTCTCTCTCTCTCTCTCTCTCTCTGTCTATATTCTCACTAATCTATCTATCTATCTATATTCTCACTAATCTATCTATCTATCTATATT